CTTTTTGACCAATGGCTCTGTGTATTTTGTATCATTTACGGTGCATTTCCTGAGTTTGATCAGTTTAATTCTCTGATCTGTGTTGGCGAATTGACATTTTTGCAAAGTTCTCCGAGATAACTGCTGATGTGATTTAGGGCGATACAAAACACATTGAATTTAATTGTCTCCCTGTGTGTTTGTATTTAAACCCTGTCTTTTCTCCACTTGTTTCCCGTCCATTGTCTCCCCAACGTCCATTCCTGGCCTGTTTTTAGTTCTGCATTGATTTGTGTTTTATCTCACCCTGGATTTGATTTTAGGTCGATGCATTTCTCTCTATATTCAGTCCTTCATTTTGGATTCCTACTTTTCCTCGTCCCCCGCCTCACACCTGTCAGGATCCAGATAGAGAGCTCCCGGATCGGGCCCCTCTCACCAGGTGCTCTTTAAATACTTGTTAAATGATGTCTTCCCGGGACCTCTCTCATTATCCCCCTGCCGAGTCTGGTCCGACACGCCCCCTCCGTTACCGCGACGACCCATCAGTCTGTCCCGCTGTGACAGGGGGGCGGTTCTCTCTCATTCCGACGGGACAGGTCCATCACTCACGGGCCGGGGCTAACACCAAGCTGCGCCGCGGTGAATCAGGATGTCCTTCAAACCGAGGGGAGGGGCCTGTCATGTCTGCTGTGATTTAGCACGTGTTTCAGGAAGAGGCCGTCGGCGTGGCCTGCGGGCCGGGAGCCGAGATGGAGCTGTCTGTGCGATAACGGCCTTTGAGCGGGCGGAGATACGGCGGCTGTCTGTCTGATCTGTTGATTCGACTCTGACGATGTCGTGTTTAGCTGTGAATGTGACCGAGGTTTTGGATCTTCACTGTCTTTAACGCAGTAATAATAATAATAATAATAATGTTTTGTACAGTGCTTTTCAGGACACTCAAAGAATCTTCAAATGTCATTATTCTTCACTCAGTCTCATTAAGCAGATGTTTTTGTTTGTTAGTATTTCTTTTCTTCCGCTTGCTCCTTTTGAGCTCTATACAGTATTTTGTTAAGTTTTGACTGTACAACATCCTGCTCAGGGACTACAGGTGTAGATTAGCACTGCTGCTACAACCTGGTACAAGGCATCTCTCCTTTTAGCTCATGTTTATTGTACACTGTCCCTGTAAAAGTAACAAACCATACCATACCGTACCGTACCATACCATACCATACCGTACCATACCATACCATACCGTACCATACCATACCATACCATACCATACCGTACCATACCATACCATACCATACCGTACCATACCATACCATACCATACCATACCGTACCATACCATACCGTACCATACCATACCGTACCGTACCATACCGTACCATACCATACCATACCATACCATACCGTACCATACCACACCATACCGTACCATACCGTACCATACCATACCATACCGTACCATACCGTACCATACCATACCGTACCATACCATACCATACCGTACCATACCGTACCATACCATACCATACCATACCATACCATACCATACCATACCGTACCATACCATGCCATACCGTACCATACCGTACCATACCATACCGTACCATACCATACCGTACCCTACCATACCATACCGTACCATACCATACCATACCATATCGTACCATACCATGCCATACCGTACCATACCGTACCATACCATACCATACCGTACCATACCATACCATACCGTACCATACCGTATAAACAGCTGCAGTTATGATTTGACTTAAACTGCTCAGATAAAGTCAACAATAAACAATAATAAACTCTCTGCATTTAAAGTACTGGGATTATTTATGATTCCTTCACGAAATGTAACGTTGGAACACTAATACATTTTTAATTTAATTTTTTTAGGCCTCTATAAAATGCATGAGATGGAGTCTGATCGTGAACGTGCCTAAGACAAAGAGATAGAGATGCTCCAATCAGATGGACTTCAAACCGGAGCACCAGGAGGAAACCGGAGCACCAGGAGGAAACCGGAGCACCAGGAGGAAACCGTAGCACCAGGAGGAACCCGGAGCACCAGGAGGAAACAGGAGCACCAGGAGGAAACCGGAGCACCAGGAGGAAACAGGAGCACCAGGAGGAAACAGGAGCACCAGGAGGAAACCAGAGCACCAGGAGGAAACCAGAGCACCAGGAGGAAACAGGAGCACCAGGAGGAAACCGGAGCACCAGGAGGAAACCAGAGCACCAGGAGGAACCCGGAGCACCAGGAGGAAACCGGAGCACCAGGGGGAGCACCAGGAGGAAGCCGGAGCACCAGGAGGAAACCGGAGCACCAGGAGGAAACCAGAGCACCAGGAGGAAACCAGAGCACCAGGAGGAAACCGTAGCACCAGGAGGAAACCGTAGCACCAGGAGGAAACCGGAGAACCAGGAGGAAACCGGAGCACCAGGAGGAAACCAGAGCACCAGGAGGAAACCAGAGAACCAGGAGGAAACCAGAGCACCAGGAGGAAACCAGAGCACCAGGAGGAAACCGGAGCACCAGGAGGAAACCGGAGCACCAGGAGGAAACCAGAGCACCAGGAGGAAACCAGAGCACCAGGAGGAAACCAGAGCACCAGGAGGAAACCAGAGCACCAGGAGGAAACCTACACAGACACAAGGAGAACATGCAGAAAGGCCTGGAGGTGGAATAGATTAAGCTTGAGAGTGACCAGTCTGTGTGTGTTTTCAGTTTTATGTGAGTTGTAGATGAAGGTAGACTCTCTAAAACAGCTTAATGTGTGTGTGGTGCACGTCCCCGTCTAATTCCTGCCCAAAAAAAATAATAACAATTGTAAACCGCTTTGTGACCCTTGTCTGTGAAAGGCGGTATATAAATAAACATTACTTACTTACTTACTTACTTCCTGCACCAACCCTGTCTGCTCGGATGCTTTGATCGCTCCCGTGCTCCTCACCCATCGCGGAGCATCACACACTTCATTTCCAAATCCAAACACAACAACAAAATGAAATGAAAGGCAGTTTGTGGCCCGACGCGGAGCCAATAAAATTATGCTAACGTGGAACACACAGATCTAACCTTAGTTTCCTCCGCCTCATTGTGCGGCGGGCCCCAAAAGGCACATCTGATTTCAATAATGACTGGAGATGTTGTTTGTGGTGTAAGAATACTGTCAAGGCTGAATAAACAGCGTGGATTAGCATGTAAACACTCTGATGTGCTCTTAAGGGGACGAGGCCGGGCGCAGAATGGGAAGAGAAAGGGAGAAGGTAAAAAAAATAAAGTGCGATGCAAAAATAACCCAGGCTGAACAATACACTTTGCATCAATCGTGGTCCAGAGAAAAGCATGCATCATTTATACTGTTCTGCTCAGACCCACAAAGAGCCGGTCTGAGAGAGGAGCTGATCCATCTACTTCTCAAAGTTTTCAGATTTCACTGTGGAATACTTTCATTTCTCGCCGTGTTTTCACCATATTCGTGTAAACTCGATTTTGTGGATGAGTTAGAGCAAATTGGCGCAACTTTCAATTCATTTCAATTAAATGTATGTTTGTATGTTTATCCCGAAATCTTGAAGTTTTCTCAGAGGAGCTTACGAAACCGTCGAATTCGGCAACAACAGATTAGAGAATCAATCAATCAAACTTTGTAGAGCGCCTTTCATACTCGGGGCGCAACACAAAGCGCTTCACAGACCACATCACTAAGGCACAAGTCATCACAAAAAACAAACACAAGAATCACAGTTAAAACATTACAATCACACAAGAAATTAAAATAAATAAATAAATAAAAAGAATGGAGATAAAATCCTTCAGTTGTAGCACAAACAGAACAGGCTTTAACCTGGATGTGAACATTGTCAGAGTAGACGCCTCTCTCATATTTTCAGGAAGACTGTTCCAGATTTTAGCAGCATGAATCTGAAATGCAGCCTCCCCATGTTTAGTTCTGACTCTGGGACCAGCAGGAGTCCAGTCCCTGTGCTCCTCAGAGTCCCAGCAGGAGGCCAGTCCCTGTGCTCCTCAGAGTCCCAGCAGGAGGCCAGTCCCTGTGCTCCTCAGAGTCCCAGCAGGAGGCCAGTCCCTGTGCTCCTCAGAGTCCCAGCAGGAGGCCAGTCCCTGTGCTCCTCAGAGTCCCAGCAGGGGGCCAGTCCCTGTGCTCCTCAGAGTCCCAGCAGGAGTCCAGTCCCTGTGCTCCTCAGAGTCCCAGCATGAGGCCAGTCCGTGCTCCTCAGAGTCCCAGCAGGAGTCCAGTCCGTGCTCCTCAGAGTCCCAGCAGGAGACCAGTCCGTGCTCCTCAGAGTCCGAGCAGAGAGACCAGTCCGTGCTCCTCAGAGTCCGAGCAGAAGACCAGTCCGTGCTCCTCAGAGTCCGAGCAGAAGACCAGTCCGTGCTCCTCAGAGTCCCAGCAGGAGACCAGTCCGTGCTCCTCAGAGTCCGAGCAGAAGACCAGTCCGTGCTCCTCAGAGTCCCAGCAGGAGGCCAGTCCCCGTGCTCCTCAGAGTCCCAGCAGGAGACCAGTCCGTGCTCCTCAGAGTCCGAGCTGGGACATATGGGACTAACATGTCACTGATATATTTTGAAGCGAGGCCGTGGAGAGACTTGTTTTAAAGCTGTTTTAAAGTCTATCAAACACAAACACAAAGAGCCATTGGTCCAAAAGGGACAGAGACTAACGTCCTTAAAGGTTTCCTGGTTCATCACCATCAACTGTCTGTAATTGTTGCATCTTTAAAGTTGGAGGAACTAACTTTGAAACCACAACAATAATATCTATGCAGTATATCATCCATGTAACTGGCTCCCAGCTTTTACAGCGGTTTGGTTCTATCATGAGTTTCCACATGTGCAGTATCTTTGGCTTTTTTGGGTGAGAGAGAGGACCAGCCTCAGTCAACAGCTCTGTACAGTATATATACAGTACAAGATCAGTCGTCACTCCCATCTCTGTGTGGGGAGAGGCAAATGACCACAACACTAGTAAAGAGCGTTAGACTCTGGTCTGTGAAAGGCGCTATATAAATAAATATTACTTACATACTTACTTGTTATTGCCTTTAGAAATAAAACAAATAATCTTTATGAGCTGTGTGAAACAGACTGTCGGCTACAACAGTGGAGAACAGAGGAAACGGCATCATTCCATTCTCTGTGAGTGATCTTTTCTGTGTTCACGGCGGCGTCCACGGCGGCGTCCACGGTGGCGTCCTGGTGTCTAATCTGCCACCGTGACATAGCAGCGTCTCCTGTAACCTTCCCCCAAACACAAACAGATTTAGAGGCGTCTGCTGAGCTCGCTGTGATGGGATCGATCAGAAAAGACCTCCTTCAGAGCCACGGAATCTCAGCCCTGGGGTTAGAGGCAGCAGAGAAAGAGAGAGAGACCAGAGAGAGAGAGCAGAGAGAGACCAGAGAGAGAGCGAGAGAGAGAGAGACCAGAGAGAGAGCGAGAGAGAGAGAGACCAGAGAGAGAGCGAGAGAGAGAGAGACCAGAGAGAGAGAGAGAGAGAAAGAGAGAGACAGAGACAGAGAGCAACCTGTAGAACCAGGACTGAGGCTGTAGACCCAGGTTCTGCTTAGTCCAGAAAGTTTTGTAAATATATTTTTGGAAAACATAGAAAACCTATGTTTATTAAATTTTCAATCACTTGCGAACTTAAAAAAGGTCGTTTGAAACCACAGATTTACCACAACGCTCACACTTTTTAGTTTATTCCACTGCTTTTCTAAAAATAGATTGTCGGAGCTGGAGAGAAACACAGATACGGATCATTCTTCACAATAAACGACTTCTGACGACACCTCATCCCAGAAATATGTGAGAATTATTAATTACTTTCAGTCTTATCCCCCAAATGAGTTTTGGCTTTTCCTGCAGCTCCACAAACCTCACATGTGTCACTGTCAGAGACTGTACATATTAGTTATAAACAGTTAAATATAATTACTATGCACCTGAATGACATGTGAAGAGGAGCAGAGCAACTTTCTCACTTTTGTTTTGGAAGCTCAGTAAAGCCTGCGTACATGGACAGAGTATCTGGAGACGACTAGTTGAAGGCGGCTTTTGGCGACTGAGAGTAGATGATGGAGATGATCAGTTGAAATCGGTCGATGTGAGCGCTCTTACAACGTGTGTGTATTGTGTGTATAGCGCCCTCTACAGTTCATGTCAGAAAACACACTGTAGTTGAGGCCAATTGCTGTCGATGTACGCGCTGTTATTCCCCAGACTGACCTGATACAGGAGTTACAGTTGCCAATCCGATGTACGCTAGGCATTAGGCCTGGCCGTCAACTACAGTGTGTTTTCTGACATAAACTGTAGAGGGCGCAATACACACAATACACACATGTTGTTGGAGCACATCGGTGATATCTCCAGATCTGAGGACGACTAGTTTCCGAAAAGTAGAACACGGGCAACTGACTGAATCCGGAGATCGACTGTTTATCTCCAGTTGTAAGAGCGCTCACATCGACCGATTTGAACTGATCATCTCCATCATCTCCTCTCAGTCGCCAAAATCCGCCTTGAAACGAGTCGTCTCCAGTTACTCTGTCCATGTACGCTAGGCTTAAAAACTCGAATTGATGCACAATGAGCTTTTGAACCAAGAATAATGGACGTTTTTTGCCATATATACAATGTTGATGTAAGTTCACTTCTGTGGCCTGACGAAGCAACACAGCGCTGCAGTATCTGGGTCCAGGTCCTGCAGTATCTGGGTCCAGGTCCTGCAGTATCTGGGCCCAGGTCCTGCAGTATCTGGGCCCAGGTCCTGCAGTATCTGGGTCCAGGTCCTGCAGTATCTGGTCCAGGTCCTGCAGTATCTGGGCCCAGGTCCTGCAGTATCTGGGCCCAAGTCCTGCAGTATCTGGGCCCAGGTCCTGCAGTATCTGGGTCCAGGTCCTGCAGTATCTGGGCCCAGGTCCTGCAGTATCTGGGCCCAGGTCCTGCAGTATCTGGGTCCAGGTCCTGCAGTATCTGGTCCAGGTCCTGCAGTATCTGGGCCCAGGTCCTGCAGTATCTGGGTCCAGGTCCTGCAGTATCTGGGCCCAGGTCCTGCAGTATCTGGGCCCAGGTCCTGCAGTATCTGGTCCAGGTCCTGCAGTATCTGGGTCCAGGTCTTGCAGTATCTGGGCCCAGGTCCTGCAGTATCTGGGCCCAGGTCCTGCAGTATCCTGCAGTATGTGGGTCCAGGTCCTGCAGTATCTGGGCCCAGGTCCTGCAGTATCTGGGTCCAGGTCTTGCAGTATCTGGGCCCAGGTCCTGCAGTATCTGGTCCAGGTCCTGCGGTTTCTAGGCCCAGGTCCTGCAGCTCTGGCACAAATCCTCAGCAGCGTTTGGTCTCTGCGTGCGAGACAGGACAAAAGCCTCCAGCTGCTATAAATAAGAGTAACACTGCGGAAGCTCAGGTCCATTTGACGCATGAATAATGAACACAGTCAACAATGCTCAGGTTCGACTGAAGAACAAAGCTTTTCCGATCCACTGACCTGTGCACAGTTCTGCAAACAGGTTTTTGTAAAGATGCTAATGGATGACCCCCCCCCCCCCCCCCCCCCCCCCCCCCCCCCCCCCCCCCCCATGTCCCCCCGTCATAAGGAAGATGGATTCGGCACAAGGTAGCATAAAAACTTGTGCAGGATGTTCAGAAAGAGAGAGGGAGCAAGAGGCCAGAGAG